CTGTTTCCTTCAGGGATCACCACAGTGAATGATCCACCTCCATCTAACCCTATGCTCTGCATCCTCTTAACTCACAAGAACTAAATTCCTGTTTTTCATTTCACTTTCGCAAGTTTTTTTTTGTCCTGGTTTTTTTTTTTTTTTTTAATTTGTCAGAAGGTTCAGTAAACACTCTCTAGTTTAAAAATGTTAGAAAATGTTTTAATGTTTTTTTCCCCCTCTGCAGCTGCATTGCTCCTCTGCGTTACTGCAGTGATTTCCGGCCGTACTTCACCATTCATGACAGTGAGTTTAAGGAGTACACCACCAGGACGCAGGCTCCGTAAGTAAAAATAAAATGACGCCATGCTGTTGTCATTGGGATTAGTAGCTGGGATAAATTTGTGGGCAGTGGAACGATCAGCTGGTGAAGATTCTGTTGCCACGAGTAGATTTGTAAAACAAAAAGTATCTATTTCACCTTCAAATAAATCAAAATGAGCAAGGAAAATAAATCAATTTAATCATGCAATAAAGTCCCTAAATTAATTTTAAATATAGCAACAGGAGCTGCTGGAACAGGCTGCCACTCCATACAGCAGCTGGAAAAAAGTGATGATAGGACGTGGTCATTCAGGATGTTTGAAATTCTAATTTAAAAGGGAGCCAATGAACAGAAGTTACTTTGTTAGAAATTTGTTGAGTGTTGAAAATTGTTTTCTGCTTATTGGTGTTAAAAGTTATTAATCTGTGTTTTCGCAGGCCATCAGTCATTCTAGGAGTGACCAATCCTTTTTTTGCAAAAACGCTGCAGCACTGGCCGCACATCATCCGCATCGGAGACATGAAACAAGCAGGTAAACGTTACAGCTTCAGCAAACTGAGACATACAGGGTCTCAAACTTGTTCAAAAAGATGTCTCTGTGCAAAAAGTGTGTTAATGAAGTAGGTAATGATGTATTGAAATGGAGGAGAAATATCAACCTGTCTGATCACTCTTTTCACCATCTGGCACTCACAGGAGAGATGGCCAAGCAGATGAAAGTCAAGAAACTGAAAAACCTCAAAACTCTGGACTCTAAACCCGGTAGATATTTCACATCCCCCTTTTATTCTATTTATTTTTCTGTATTATGAAGATTTTTTACTTTTTTTTAATATTACATGAAATCTCTCTCTCTCTCTCTCTCTCACTCAACTCACTCACTCACTCACTCACTCACTCACTCACTCACACACACACACACACACACACACACACACACACACAAATTGTGCAAGAGGTCCCGCAATAACTAAAAAAACAGTCTGATAAGTGTGTGTGTTCTGTAGGTGTGTACACTGCATATAAACCGTATCTCAACAAAGATGAAGAAATCATCAAACAGCTTCAGAAGGTGAGATATTTCCCATTTTTAAGCATCCCCTTATTCATTATTGAAAATATGAAATATTTTTATGTATTTTCTTGTTTTGCAGGGTGTTCAACAGAAGAGACCCTCTGCAGCCCAGAATGCAATTCTTCGGCGCTACTTCTTAGAACTGACACAAAGCTTCATCATTCCACTGGTAACAACCAATTACTTTATGTATGTGGTATCCTCCAATCAGATCCAAGAACTCTATAATGAATGCTGTGTTTTTTAGAGTTGAATCTGAGTTTGAAAGATTTCACAGAAGTGGATTTAACTCTGATACATCGGGCTATGAAGCTGTAAATATGTGATTTTAATTTTACAAATGACAATAAGCATTTTAGGCTTCAACTAAAATGATTTGTTCGTGTGGTGCAGGAGCGGTACGTGGCCAGTCTGATGCCTCTCCAAAAGTCCATCAGTCCCTGGAAGAGTCCTCCTCAGCTACGACCGTTCATACAGCAGGACTTCATGAAGACACTGGAGAAAGCTGGACCTCAGCTTACGTCCAGACTGAAAGGAGACTGGATAGGACTCTACAGGTGCAGGCATAAGCCTTTATTAAAAAAATCTATCTGCAGAAGTTAATTTATCACATGGAAATCTGTATTTTTAAGTTCATAAGCCATAGAGGTTTTTACTGGGTTAAGTATGAATGGTTTGATTGTAACACAGACTGAAAAGATGTCAATAGTGAATCACTGACATGTTGTCGGAATGCAGACTATACCGAGTGTCATATGAACTCTTTTTTTTTTTTTTTTCTTTTCTCTTCTTAAATTTAAAGGCATTTCCTCAAGTCTCCCAACTTTGACGGCTGGTTCCGCAACAGGAGGAAAGAGATGACGCAGAAACTGGAAGCCCTGCACCTCGAAGCGCTGTGTGAGGAGGTGAGGAGGAGAAAGGCTTGGAGTGTATAAAGATCGGGCTGAGTCTGTCTGAAACATTATTTTAGTGTTTTATGCTTTTAAGTTAACTTCTGATTGGCTCCTCAAGGTTTGAACAGCAGGTGGGTGGAACTTGAGGGACCATGAAAAGGCAATATCCAAAGCATCATACAAATTCAAGATTAAACTAACTGTGTTTAGAGTGGTCTGAGGTTTTGGCTCTCTGAACATAAAGTTGAGCATAATTATTATTATTTTCTGTTTTTACATAGATGGGATGTTAGAAAGTAGTTAAGTGATGCCATTGGCTAAAGCTCTCTATATCTTAATGGCCATCAGTCAACATCGACTCAATTCAACAATATCAGTGTTGAATTGAGTCATAAAATGTAATGAGTACCCTTGAATTGAGTCCCAGACACCTTTATCGATCTCCATGTCATTTGTTCTTCTGCAGGATCTCCAGAAGAGAATCCAGAAGCACACAGAGGTGGAGACAGTCGATCTGGTCCTGAAGCTGAAAGACAAACTGGTCTGTAAAGATGATTCATGGTCTATAACTTTAATATTACTGCCTCTACTAAAACCTCCTGTACTTTTACTGCTAAACTACGGCTCTGCTACTAGCACAACAGCTAATAGTCCTGTAGCTTTTCTCTTTTCTTGCAAAGTTAATAGATGTTGAGGTCATAAAGTTTTGGGCACGGACCGATAAAAATCAAAACCAAAATGTGCCTGCATTATCTGTTCATTCTCAGTTAGCACACACATGACATACACCCCAAACTAGGTTTTTTGTTTTACATTAAATATTCAGTGCAGTGTCAACATGCTGTACATCCACCATAATTACTGCACTGGCTACAGGTCTTCTGGCTGGGGTGTCATTTATTGGGAGGAGTTAAGTGATGCTAACATGGTGCTAAGTAAGCTAAATAAGCTTCAGCTACTGTAAAACTGCACTGAATCTGAACCATAGGCAACATGACCGGTTTATCTGTTGGATTAAAGTGTGTGCTAGTGTTTTATAAGGCAGTGAAGTGAGTGCGTAGCATAGAACTTTTTTTTTATGTGTTGCATGGATGGGTCGATGGATGTATCATAAGAAATGAAGAACTGACATCATTCATGATTACAAGCCTTTTTAAAAAAACTAAAATAAATTTAGGAGGAGTGCCAAAGTCTTAAATCTAACTGGGCTTAAGCTGTGGGAACCCAGCTTCTTTCAGGTCTGGGAGCTGTGCAGTTTAAAACTGATTTAAAACATGACATTCAGGTTCACTTGAAGCAGAAATTGATCTTTATTCTCTGTAAAGTTTGAGCTGTGTCTGAAATTGCAAAACACACAGTGCAAATGGTCAGAACAGGATGCAGGCACTGGAAGCTGCCTGAACACGCCCAGGAGGATGACAGGTTAAAGGTCATCTTCTTTCTCGGGCAGATGACCTTCAACTCAAGGTCCATCAAATTTAAAAAATAAAAATAAAAAATAAAAAAAAATAATTTCTCCCTGCCTTGAATTCCTCCTACTTCTTTTACTTTACTTTTACTGACACAGCATACATGGCTGTGCTTGTTAGTAATCCCTGCTGATGCACCTGGTATCTTGCATCTGCTGCATCTTCAGCCTGTTGGATGAAGCATTTTTGTCTCACTGTGCTCTTTGCTGCAGACTCAGGCGGAGAGGGAGAAGTTACCAGTGCATCCCGGGACCTTGGAGAAGCTGAGAGCCCATATCGAGGGTGTCATCCTGACCTTACCAGAGGACCTGCAGGGCATCCTTCACAAGCCCACCACGCTCTGACCTCTAACCCTGCAGGCTGCAACACTAACCCCCAGTTAAAGCTTGTTTTAAAGTTTTGGGTGGGGGGGCTTGGTGGCTCTCCTCCCAGTCAGTTTCCAAGGTGAGGGTGATGTGGACCCTTTCACTCAGAGTGAGTGCCAGTTTAAATCTGCTCTGGTCTAAGATGGAAAGCACATACTTGGGTGCCAGCTCTCAATGAGTCAGACTAAACAGCATGTCAGTGATCATGTGGGTATTTTTATTTTTTTTTTTTAAGATGACCAGTCAAACCAGGATCACCTTTTTTTTTTTCCTTTTTAAAAATCACTGCTACATTACTACATGAAGAAAGCCTGGAGGGCTCGATCCTGATAGCATTTTCTGAACAGTCTGAGGCTGCGTGCGCAAGCAACAAGAAGATGGCTTTTACTGACCTTTGACCCTGGACGTTTTTACCTCCTTAACATTTTTTTGTTTGTTTGTTTGTTTTTTAAACATTGATGGTGGGTCGCTGCAGTCTAACTGAACAAAATCTGGAAATGTAAAAAGTTTCCCAAAGAAGTGCACTTCATCCATAATTGGACCAGTGTGCCCTTCTCACACCTTTATGCAAACAAGCTGAGCCAAGCAGTGCTTTATAATGTGATGTTACTAAAACACACACACACAGCACTAACCACCAGCGACCCCTGCAATAACTCTCTGCAGGAGCCAGTCATCTTTTTTTATCCGTGTCACATGATCGTTACATGACCTATCAAAATGAAATTCAGAATGGTCTTTATATTTGTTTGTTTTTCTGTTGTTGTTTGCTTTGCTTTGTTCTTTTAACATCTGAAGTTTTGTGTCACTCTTGTGTAAAATCATGTAGAATCTCCTCCGACAGGCCCGTATCCACCAAGAAAGAAAAATAGATCATTTGAAAAATACTTGCAGAAATGCAAATTTATAAGATATCTGTTCAGGCTTTTTTTTTTTTTTTTTTTTTTTTAAACGAAAGGGAAAAAAGTTTTTCATTTGAATGAATGAGAGGACACCAAAAAATATGAGCTAGACCCCAAAATTTGATTTCTAGAGATAATTATTGTTTTATGATAATCGGTAATAATGAGAGATTGACTTTCTGCGTGTTGTTTGTGAACTTTCTTCTTTTCTCCTGATTAGTGTCACTGTCACAATCAGGTAATTCCTGTATCTTATTGACTTCAATTTTAAAGGGTTCACAAATTGTTCTTAGAAGTTATTTGGCCATTTTAACACTTTTACTTGAAGTATATTCTAATTTCTTATATTTAAAAAAAAAAATTTAAATGGTGGAATGGACTTTTATTGTGAAAAACTGAAGCTTGAGTCTTCCTTTCTTTCTAGAAAGAAAGGAAGGCTCTGGGTCATAAAAGTGGGGGATCACCGCAGCAGTTGGCGCCACATGTTTGATTTGGCATTTTTAAAGCTGTTTACTCTTTCAATTCAGCGCAATTCTTAAACGTTTGTTTCTCATCGCAGGATCAAACCGTATCCGTTTCCGCTCGAGATCGTTCATAGAAAAATAAACTTTTTAAAAGCCAAAACAACTCTTTTAAGCAATTATTTTAATGCACTTTCAAGTCCTTGCTATGAACTGAAAGAAACTGTCAGTTGTTTTGATTTTAAAAAGGTTTATTTTCTATATATAGTTTAGTTTTTTCCTGAAAATTATCATCAACTTGTATAAAGATAAATAGAAGCTGTTCTGTTTTATTCACCTGACAAAAAAATTCTTGATTGTAGAGCAGTTTGGATGACACAAAGTCTGAGACTCAGTAAGGGTGGAGTGCCCCATGTGGGTTGGGAATAAGTTGCTACCTGAATTGGAAGGTTTTTGTGTGTTCTTGTTCAGGAGTGAGGGTGGAGTGGAAGCAGAGCTGGGCAAACAGATTTGTGTGGAGTCAGCTGTGGTACTGGGTGTTAAACTGAAGCTGCTTATCTACATTTCTACCCTCACTGTTGTGAGTACTGAGTGATGGCTGCAGCTGTGAGCTTCCTCTGAAGTTTGCTATAGGGTGCGAAGCTTGGTCAGAGTAGAGCAGCTCTTCTCTACATGGAAAGGAGGCAGTTGTGGTGGTTCATCGGTGTAAGATGCCTCCAGAGCACCTCCTAGATGAGGCGTCTTTGGCATGTCCTACTGGAAGGAGGTCTCAGTGCAAACTAGGGCACGCTGGAGAGATTGTCTCTCAGCTGGCTTGTGAACACTTGTGTCTCCCCAGAAGTGCTGGTGACGGGGAGTTTTAGATGACTCTGCTGAGGCTGCTGGCCCTGTGAGCTGGTTCCAAAAAAGAGGCAGAAAATGGATAGATGGCTGGGGAGGGGGTGGAGCTTTCAAAAATGGCACTGCTGTGCTTTAAAATGTGTTCATTCTAATGACTAACAAACAATGAACTTTCTATGTATGATAGTGGTCACGGTTGCTCAGGATAATACACAGATGCTGATTCTTCACATTATATTTAATTTTAGGAGGTTTAAATTATTGTGAGACTTTTTGTTTGTTTGCTTGTTTTGCCTCAGACCTTTCAAAATGAGTTGAAGCTATCGAACACATTGCGAACAAAAAACACTTTGACTAAAGAGATCTCAACTGGCTGCCCTTTATGTAATACCACTTTGTATCACAAGATGGTGCAGTGAGTCAGTGTAACCTTTAGTTAACCTGGCAGATTATTTAGAGCCCATATTTACAAAATGAAAAGCTTTGTGCAGAAATCGATATAAAGCTAAAAATTTATATTAAAAGTCAAGCTGCAACAAGAGCTCCTTCATAGCACACGATGATTAAACATGGAAATCAAGAAAGCCTGCTAAATGTTGAATTTTATGATTGCATCACTATGATCTGTGATATTTCAAAGATTTCTGTACATTTTCTAAAACGTAGAAGCAATAATGGTTTAACAACTTGGCAGTTTGATTTTTCAGAAAACAAATTGATATGCCTCGCTCTAATTTTTCTGAAAGAGATTACATACGTCGGCACATACAGTTGTTTTATGTTTGCGTTGTACATCATCGGAACATTGAATGGACTTGCAAGCTTGTGGATTTGTTTTCCTGCCATCATGTAACAGCTGTTTTATAAATGCTTTGAATTTTGCCTTTTTTATTGAGCAGACAGCTGTAAAGACAAAAAAAATGTACTGGTTGGATAAACCTGTGACATCTGGTTGTTGGGCAACCTTACAAAATTTATATTTGTATTAAAAAAAAGTAATATTTTACAACTTTCAATGTTTTAATGGAGGGCTATTCTTATTCCACAGTGTAGCAGCTGAGGAGGTTTTTTTTTGTACATAAAGCTGTAAAGTAAAATGTTCGCCCACATATGAGGATGTATGATAATTATTTTGCTATTCAAACAGATGTCTTTGCTAATTATTAACTATAGTGACACCACTGCAGCGATGAATAGCTTTTACGAGAATATTTACACTGCCCTGGAGGCACAGGGACATCTTGAATTTGTAGATTTTTCTCCAAAAGATACAAGTCTCTTACCAACAGAGGTGTGATAAGAGACTGGAACATCATGCCATCAAAAAACCCAAATTATGTACAAATAAAGAGATGAAATCTAAGAGTATTTATATGAAAAAGTAGCAATAATGAAGTTTTAAGTTATTCTGTAAATTTGCAAAAATTATAAGAAAGAAGTTGATAAAAATCAAAATAGTGCAGTGAGACGCTGAACTACAAACAGTTACACCATTATTTACAATATTATCATTTAGCATTATTAACATGATATTTAATTTTTAAACATTGTGTTTATCGTCAGTACTGAAGTGTCGTGTAGGGTGGCCAGATCCCAGTAAACTACGTTAAGATAAAAATGTTTAGTTTTAGGTCACATGTTTGACTTCGATCATGTGACATGTCATTTGAATGCATTTCCCCTGATTTTGAGAATCATAAATTGAAGCTGATGTTTATTTCTGTGATCTTGTGTCGTGTTTCCTTTTTCTTGTGTTAAAACTGCTGTTCTGTCTGATAAGCAGAAAGGTTTTTAGACACGTTTCCTCTGAAACACGTGCTTACTTTAGTAAACTTTAACAAACTATGTGGAGAGTGTCTCAAAATGTGGAAGAAGGGAGATGAAATTTAAATGACCTGGTCACCCTATTCTTAAGATACTCCTAGATATAATCTGCTTTTTTACAGCAGGTCTAAATCTGCTGCTTCTCTCTGTATGAGGTAAATGCAAGTTCCTGACAGACAGATGGTTAAAATAAAAATCTGTTTATGGCAAATAATTCTGGTTTGATGGAGGATGGATGTCTCAAACACCTGGTTAAGGTTAGACTTAAGCTTATGTTTTAAATACTGTCTTATGCAGCTGTGGGACACATGTAGAAATTAGATTTAAAAGTCTCCTTCAGAGGCATTTTCCCCTCAAATTAATATAAAGTGTAGAGAAAAATGACACTACAAATTCAAAATGTCTCAAAGCCATTGTTTTTAAATATGCATTTTTGCTCCATTGACTTTTTATTTTATGTTTTTTTTAAATTGAAGCCATAACCACTACGCTCAACCGCTCTAACCGCTCTAACAGCCTGAAGCACTGCAGCTGTGGTGATGAGACTCGTTATGATGAAAGTCATGCTGACCTACTTTTTTAATATAAGCAAATGATTATTGAACTTGTTTGAGTGGCCTTCCTGCGGTGCATCTTTCACAACATTGTTTTTGCTTCTGAAACAGTATTACAGTGAAACAAAATTCATCCAGCAGCTGTTTTTGAATGTTTGTAAAGGTTGATGCAGATGACCGACGGCTGCTGCTAAAACTCATGCAGCATGTCGCTGTTTGATTAAATGTTTGAAAAGGCTGCTGTTTGGATGAGGTCAGAGGATTTTTTCATGCTACATGTCTCGTTCAGTGGGGTCACTGACGTTAACTGATGTGTTTTGTTTTGTGTCATTAAACTGACTTCTTAAAATGTAAAAGATCTCTTGCTTGTTTTCTGAGGAGCTCCTATCAAAGATTCTCCAGTGCTGCACGAGGGCAAGGATTTCTTTAGAGTCACGTTTTGGTCTTTAATGATCTGTAGGGGCCCAACACAGATGCAGATGAGTAAGATCTGCCTTGTACTAAAGGGTTAATTGTTGCTGAAGAGTTTATTTTAGTCTTTTTTTTACTAAACCCATTTAAGTACCTTTGTTAGCTTGTCCTAATCAAACTGCAACAAAAAACCCTGCTTCATATTAAAACTGTCTTCCTGCCATCTCTTGATTACGATCTGGATTACGTGATCAGTAGAAGGCCAAAAAGGACTACCAAAACTGGATCATTGTTTTTAGATTACACCTTCTGAACAACTGGACCCTGGGTGTAAACCCCCCTGCTGGCTCGGGTCTTTCTCGGAGGACTTTGTACTCTCTAAATACTCTGAATACTTCCACCCAAACGTCAAAGGCATGCATATTAAACTTAATCAGTGCTAGTTTCCCATCACTCACTGGGATGGGTTTCAGCCCCAAATTTGTTTTTCCACTAAAAATGTTAATACAACTAATAATCTCAAACAAAGTAAAACTTTTTTTGAAGTTTGTTAAAATTAATTTCTTTCTTTGTATTTTCTTGTAGACTTAAGCTTCACAATACCAAGTGTCTCAATGGATAAATTTCACAATAAATCAGATTCTGTCTACCACCTCTTTAATTATTTTCTTTAACAAAACACAGATGTAAAAAAAACAAACAAACCCCACAGTGGATACAAATGAAAAGAATTAGCTTTGAGATAGCATTAATAAATTCTGTGTCTCAAATGGAGTGCTTGTATACAGTATTGAGTACATGCAGTTCAACTCCTTGGACAGTGTACCCAAACCAGCTGCATACTTCTCATCCCTGGTGGTTGCCAATTTTCAGTCAGTATGATGAACACATGTTTACAGCCTTGTATGAATACCATTTGGTCTTTATTGATAGACGACTCCTTCATAATACCTGTAGCTCGTGGCACGTGGACACTGCAGTGCTAACTCAGTGCGCTGAGTGAGGCCTCACTTCCACTAATTTAAGTCGCTGAGCTGGACTCTTTGCTGTTGGTTACTTTAGAGGAAGTTTAGCTTTTGGAGAATGAACAGAAAAGCGGGGAAAGACATGGAGCAAAAGCCTCATACTTTTAATTTCATATGATCAGTGTTAAAGAAGGAAAGAATCACTCTTTTTTGCTTTTCTTTTTGTGCTGATGCCCCTGTTACGTCTTATAACACCTGGGTCTTTTGGTCCTCACTCATTCCATCCTTCTCCATGCTGAAAAACTTCAGCTTGTCTTTCTTTGGTCTGTGCTTTCGCTCCACTTTCCTGATTGGCTCTTTGGCCTGCATACCATAGGAGTCCTCCATGACTACCCTTCCTCTGAGAGAGTATCTGATGTAGGACCAGGAGAGGACGGAGCCGCTGTAAGACCTAAAAAACACAGGAGCATTATTAGTTATTGTTATTACACAAGCATAAAAGGAAGTCCAACATAAATGGTGCTCGAGTTTCACTCAAAGACACATCAGCACACAAGTATAAATCCACACCACAAAGAGCCACTGCAGCATTGGCTGATTTGATAAAGACTTATTACTGTTAAACCATTTGCAGTTTGTTATCTATCACAAATGCACTGTGCCCACCTCTCCAGGGACACAATACACCTGGGAAAGGTACACAACAATCATGCTGGACCAATGAACTAGACTTTGGACACCAAACTTGCTTGGGCAAGGTACAGGTAATCGAGTGTCATTACGCCCTAAGTTTGAATATGTTTATAAATGGATTCCCTGTTAGAGTACTCTCTGAGTTCAGTGTAAGTCGATGTGCGTGCACACACACACACAGACACACACACAGGATCTTACCCATAATAACCTCTGCTCATGTAGTAGAAGATTTCTTTATAGCGGAGTGGATAGTCCCACATCTGGATGTCTGTCAGCTGACCATCAAAACCTGGGAAATCAATCACAGGCTCACCTGACCACACATACTGAACACACACACAGGAGACAGACGTAATAGAGACAATGAGAGAAATTAAAGATGATTACATAAAAATAAGTAAGGTGCCTGTATTCTTTTAGAGTCTAAGCATTTATATCTACAATGAAGGATTCATCGTCTCATCATTTTAACAATTTGTTTCTTTGCATTTGTTCTTTCTTTGGTTCTTCTTTTCTATCTGTTGTCATCTTTGATGATTCCCAGTTTGCACTGAGGTGATTTGCAACAGTGTGAAGCTACAGAAATTAAAATGAGCACCTCCAACAGACCCAGTAACAAAACATAACTCAGTACATCTACTCAAGCGGTTTACAGATGTACAGTTTTTCTTACAGAAGGAGGGAAAAACACATAAAACAGAAACACATGAAGCAATAACTTAAACATTCAAAATGTTTAAGAAAGTGGATGGAAACAATCCATAAGTGTCGTCTGCTATATCTGCCTATAAGCCGATTTCAACCCTGTTCTCACCTGAGACGGCAGCACCTTCCTGATGCTCATGTTTGAGCCGCTGAACATCTGTACCACACCCTTCCTGGTGTCCACAGTGAGGCACACACTGGTCCAGAAGTCCGATCCGATGTTTGGCCAGAACTTGATGAGGGGCCACAGGTACACATAGTTGTAGTAACCGCTAAATGTCAGGCCATATGAGTTAGGGTTTGCCTCCAAACTCAGAGGGGATCTGTTTGGACTGAGGGTGAAAAGCGGGAAGCCGGACTGTAAATTGTCAGCCATGTAACGCAGACACACGGACACACCTACAGGAGGAGAGCAGGATCACAAATTTACCAAAGAAGAGCAAAAACTTAACAGCTTCTATAGTTGAATCTCATCTGAACACATGCATACAAATTTATAACAAATTTGTAATAAATACAACATACACTTGATTTACCACATTTTTGTACCTATGTTGGACTGTACTCACCTCTAGTTGGACTCTCTGTTGTCCAGGGATAGGTCCAGCGACGGTTGGTGGTCCAGGAAGGAGTAGAAAGGGGGGAGTAACGAGTGGAGCCCCAGGGACTGGTGGTAGGAGGTGTGGTGGGGATCCAGGAACGGGTTTTGTGTCTTCTGGTTGGGTAATCAGTGGTAGAAGGCGAGACAGAATCATAATAGGGCGGGTAGAAGGTCACACCTCCATAATTACGAGACAAAGTGAACATCTTCCCTCTTAGATCTAGTGCAGAACTTCCTGGAGACAGAAACACAAACAAGTGGTCAACATGATATGAAACTTTCTTTTTACTCATTAATATAAGTGCTTTTATGAACAGTCCATCATCCAGGATGAAGGTGGACTAGAGCAATAATTAAAGCCAGGAATGTGACTCCAGCCTGTTTGAGACTGGACGGATGTGCGGTTTGGTTTTAGATGCAACTGTAAGATGGAAAGGTGGCGCAGAGCACCTGGTGTGCATCTGCTAATTAACCTCTCTCACCTGAGGTGCAGGGCAGGAGGGGACAGAGTGTGTGAGCACAACAGGTAGCTGTGCTGCAAAGCAAACAGTCAGTGCTCTGCAGCTGGGCTTTACAGTGGAGCAAAGGTTATCTTCTGTTTTTAGAAGCTGCATAAATAAAGAGGTACGTGTGGAGCTCCAGTCCTCGCTGATGAGAACTCAGTGACACAAAGATATCAGATTTTCACTACTGTGACAAGACGAATTCACTTTAACTGCAGAGATATATCCTTAAACATCCTTAATATCGAGCAGCTTTTTATAAACCTCCATTTGTTCCAAAACACTGCAATGAAAGTACAAAGAGAGGCTGGAAAGAAAGATCATATCTCTTAATTGATCTGCTAAATCCAGAACCTTAATTATTACTAAAGTTAAAAACCCTTCTTCTCATGTTTAAAGTGGTGTGAAAAAGTGTTTGTCCCGTTCCTGATTTCCTAGCGTTATTTGTCACACTTGCATGTTTCAGATCATCAAAGAAATGTAAATATTAGACAAAGTAAATACAAAATGCAGTTTTTAATGATGATTTCATTGATTAAGGGAGAAAAGTTATCCAAACCTCCCAGGTGCAAAGAAACACCTGAGAAACAAAGTCAGAGACATCTGTCAGTCTAAAAGAAAGTTACAATGACATTTTCTTCAATGAACACAGTGAGAGCCATTATACTCAAATTGGAAAAAACGTGGAACAGTGGTGAAGCTTCCAGGAGTGACTGGCCTACCAGAATTACTCCAGGGGCGCATCGATGACTCATCCAGGGGATCAGAAAAGAACCCAGAACAACATTAAGGAACCACAGACTTGATGTGTCTTCGTTAAGGTCAGAGTTCATGATTCAACAATAACAAAGAGAGTGGGCAAAAATGCCATCCATCGGAGAGTTCAAGGACAAAACCACTGCTGACCAAAAAGAAGGATCGTCTCACAGTTGCCTGAAAACATTTAAATGATCCTCAAAACTAAAATACTCTGTGGACTGACGAGACAAACAATGACATTTTTAGAAGCGTGGTTCCCATTTCATGTTGCATAAAGGTAACACATCATTTCAGAAAAGAAACATCATACCAACAGAAAAATATGGTGGTGGCAGTGTGATGGTGTGGGGCTGTTTTGCTGCCTCAGGACCTGGAAGACTTGCTGTGATAAATGGAACCATGAATTCTGCTGTCTACCAAAGCACCCTGAAGGAGAATCTGTTTGTGATCTCAAGCTGAAGCACTATTCAAGTACAACGATCCAAAATACACCAGCAGCAAGAAAAACAAAATTAAGTTAACTTTGGAGCGATCCAGTCAAGGTCCTGACGTGAACTCGATTGAGATGCTGTGGCATGACCTTAAAAAGGTGGTTCATGCCTACAAAACCCACCAATGTGGTTAAATTACAACAATTCTGCAAAGATGAGTGGTCCAAAATTTCTCACTGCCAGTTATGACTGACGCTTGATTGCAGTTGTTGCTGCTAAGGCTCA